CCTGCCTTAACCCATCACTTGGCATGGGTGCTGGGGACTGAGACTGCCTAAGTATTTGCATCTGGCTTAAGATCACCAAGGCTGACCTGGAATTTGGAACTGGACTCTGAACTGTATTTCTAAGAGAGCAGGTAGATAGCGTCCTACCAAGAGAACTATGGAAGCTTGGGAATGCGGGGCAGGAGCTTCACTTCTGCTGATAGCAGACAAGATCCAGTAGGTTAATAATTGCTTGTTGTCCAGCGTAGCTATAGGAGGTGACTCACAGAGAGTTCCAATAGCACACAAAAGAAGGAACTTTATCTCATTCTCTCTACCTCATATCCTCTTTCCTTAAAAATTTCAGTAGAAAATAAAGAATCTAGGCATTTTAGCAAATGAATGAGAAAGAGCAACGTACCAATTTAATTCACTTATTTTGGCCTTCAATGTTTTTGTTGTGTAGATGTCATGTTAATTAGAATTAATTCCAGTAAGAGGTAAAGGAAGATTAACTAGGTTTCATTTATGCAATTTTTCTAATTGTCACCTCCCATGGTCTTTTGAAATATTATATTCAAAGCTATTATAATTTTCTAAACTGCATTTTAATACATTTTTGGGGAGAAGACTTTGATTTAAAAGGATATACCTGCTAAATAATGAACTAATAAAACATCATATAAGAATCTATCAAATAGTCTTCTGACTGCACTTATTTATCAAGCCATGAAATTAAAATAAAAATACATGATTTCAAGACATTCATAAGTATTTATGACTTAAGATTAGTAGAAATGGTGAATGTCGTTTTAAAGTGTTAGCATCGGCAAGTCTGTGTGGGTCTGCAAGATCCTCACTTCTTGCCTTCTCAGAAGAAAGAATTCGACTGAGGGGCATAAGGCAGAGTGAGAAACTGAGGCAAGTTTTAGAGCAGGAGTGAAAGTGTATTAAAAAGTTTTAGAGCAGGAACAAGAGGAAGTAAAGTACACTTGGAAGAGTGCCAAGTGGGCTACTTGTGAGATCGAGTGCAGCGTTTGACCTTTGACTTGGGGTTTTATGCGTTGGCATACTTCCAGGGTGTTGTGTGTCTTCCACCCTGATTCTTCTCTTGGGGTGCACTGTTTGCATGTGCTGTGGCCTGCCAGCACTTGGGAGGGGTCTCATGTTCAGTGTTTACTGGAGTTGTATGCATGCTCACTTGAGGCGTTCTTGCCTTACCAGCCAAGTGTTCCTAGAAGAAGATTAGGTACCACTTAAACTGTGCCATTTTGCCTTAGTCCACATGCTTGAGCCCACTCACCTAACTCCTGAGATGTCATCAGGAAGCTGCTGATCACCAGTTTCAGGTGTTTCTGTCTATTGGGAGACCGCTTCTCCTGGTGCCAGCTGTGACCAATTATTATTGTAGACAGACAGTTTGACAACTGCCTGATCATCACCTGATTGCCTCCTGACATGCCTGGTGGGAAAGGCCCTCTTCTGTCCTGCTCATGTCTGACTATCTACCTACTCTAACAAAAATAAGGAAAAGTGTATAAAGGGAAAAGGGCATGACTCAGTAATTGTTCTAAATTATCCTAAAGTTCTAAAGACTAGCCCCAAAATACCTCAGAGCTAAAACCCCTCTGAAACCCCCTCCTTAGCAAAAACTCTTAACTTTTTACACCTATAAATATTTATTAAGAATTAAGATGTATTTCTTAATACAGCTCCAAATTTATAATCAAACAAGGAAATACCGACAGCTGTTTATAGATATTCCCTAAACAAGAGCCATGAATGAAATCCATCTGAAGCGGCTACTGCTGTCTGTGGTATATACCCTGGGGTTCATTGTCACGCACTGAGAAAGAATTCAGAACACAGACACATGTGGGTGGGTTAAGGAGCAGAAAGTTTAACAGAAGAAAGGAGAGAGGAGGGGAGAGCAGCTCCTCATGAACAAGAGATATGTGGAAAACGGAGAAGGTAGAGGACCGCAGCAGATTTTATAGGCAGGCTGGAGAAGGTGGTGTCTGATTTACAGAAGGCTCACAGATTTGTTCAATTAGGTATGACGTCTACATAGTGTGCCAGGAAGGCTAGTTGGCCCACCCTAATCTTCTTATGCAAATGGACTTTCCAGTTGATTGGCACCATCTTGTCTGCTCCTTTACATTACAGGTGGCTAGCAGAGAAGGGAAGATGGGACCGCCATCTTGAATATCTTTAGTGCTTAGTTACCGCCGGCATTCACCTGTGCAAGCTCCCAGCTTGCAGGCTACTCTGTTAGAAAATTAGCTGGGGCTGCTTTTCATTAAAAAGAAAAGCCTTACCAAGGACTCCCATACCCTTACTATCTGCCTAAGTAATTGCTTCTTAACTCCTATATCACATTCAGTACATTGGAAGTAGAAATGTAAAACAGAATAATTTTAACACTTATCTCTTGATACTCTTTAAGATGTCCTTTTATAGACAAAATAAATTTTTTTAAATTTATATTCCCATCTCTGCATTTTAAATATGTTGTTTATCTGTGGTGGGGGTTTTTGTGGAGAAAGCAGGCAGGGGAGTGAAATGGAAGAACTCGGTCCCTTAACAGACCCACAACAGCTACGGTCTTAAATCTAAAACGAGTACTGGCCCAAGGGTGGGGACCAAAAACCCCCAACCATCTTAGTTCTGGTTGCAGCTGTCCAAGGCAAGGCCAGATCTACACATGGGCCAAGAAGATAGAATGGTTTATAAATTGCCGCAATCAATGATGGAGACAAACAAGATTACCCAAACAAATGACACCTGTCAAGATAATTCAGTTTGTTAATTTTACTAGCTAATAATCCTCCATTACAGCTTTATATATGGGAGACAAACCAGTTTCATCTGTATGACATAATCAATCAATTATAAAAGTCACTATGTGAGCTTTGGAGTACTGAAAGATCTCCCCCAGGCTTTGCCTTCACCTGAAATCATAAAATAGATATATAAGTGAGATTTCAGACAAGCTAAACACAATGTAGTTTGAGAGACTGGACTCTCAGGAGCTCAGAGGAGCCACAATTTGCAGCTCTGAAGCACAACTCGCCTGATTTTCAGATGTGGTTGTAGGCTCTTAGTTACACCCGTGCAGATCACTTTATCTGAACTCTAGGGAATAAATGAATGAATTCAGTTAAGCCAATTGCTCTTGTCTTTGGCGTTAATCAAATCCCAGGCCATGCTAATGGGATCCATCTCATTCAACACACGCTCTTATTCCATTCACAAAGTGCTGTTGCCCACAACACCCTGGCAGCTGTTTCAAGTTAGGGGAGTTTTCAAAGTATTTGAAGGGGACAAATAGGTTACTTCCAATTCTTGACTTTCTTATTTAGTCTAGTATCTTGTAAGAAAGATACTTTGTGAAATCATTCTACTGGTAAAAGTATATATCATCAAAATTAGCAGGTATACCTATAGCAGGTTCACAGATTAAACAGAATGCCCTTTACACAACTATAGTCAATATGGGTTGTTCTTTTAATGTTCTAAGGCTGTGTCCACCAAAATCCTGCATCTTGCATTTGTATTCCTGGTCTCTCAGGCATTGTTTGGTTCTGTTGTTCTTTATTTCTAACACTATCACTAGATCCAGCAGGCACTGTGGAGCACGTATTACACATACTACACATATTACACATACTCATATCTTCTGTATATGGGATATATGACTCAGAAGTAATAGCAAGTCAGATTACAACCTCTTAGGGAAAATCAACAGCAAATACAAGCTCACAGGCTGTGTGTAAGGTTGACTTGTACATGACTTTGGATGCAAATTGACACAAACACCTCTCCATATTACAGTCATTTTTAGAGGGCAGGCAACATTCTTGGAGGGACCTGAATTGCTAGGTAATTAAAATGTATGTATGTAGAATAAAATAATCTTGGAAATAAGAGATTTCCATAAGCGTTCTCTCTAAAATAAGGTCACGTTCTCTGAGGTAGAGATTCTGTGCCTTGTGGAAGGAAAGCCACTTCATAAAGCAGCACAAGAATAGCCAGTTATTGAAAGGGCCATTATAAAATTACTGGCCAATGGTATTTGCTGCTCTTACAATTTGTCAATCCATTCATCCCTAGGAAAAAGATAGCATAAAAGAGAGGTCTGTTCATAGGTAGAAGCAGTTTGTGGGAAAGCTTTGGAAATGTAGAACCATTGTTTTTGATGACCATAAGAAAAAAAGAGGGTGCAAGAGGGCAGCACTATGAAGGGCCCCTGGAATAACAGCACAAAGCGAGTTAGATTCAAAGAGTGGAGTAGACCTTTGTCTAAGGGGCTTATTCTGACAAATTCAACTTTGAAGGCAGCCCGGGTCATTCTTGGAAGAGGCTATTCTTTGTCTCCAGTGACCCCAGAGACACCATATAAAGGTGGGGTGATGATGCCGCAGCCGGGACCAGGTCCCAGTTGCGGTGGACAGGACAGAAGGGACTGGATGGGGCAGCAGGCTGGGGCGCCACCAGGTACAAGCAAAGCCCAGGGATACGGCCCCTCCTCTCCGTCCCGGCTGCTCGCTGCGCCCCCTCCGGGCCGTGCAGGCTCCGGCTCCCGCGCCGGGGCTGCCTCTCACGGATTTCATCCTGGTGGGAGGCAGTGCTCAGAGCCTCTTTTTCCTTATCTCACAAAACCCTAAAAGCCAAGCCCCTACAACCAGCAGACAAAACTGCTCCCCGAGCTTCGGCTCTTTCCTGCTTTCCAGGCGTGTCTCCGGCAATAACTTACTTAGTGGCACGGGGAGAAAGGTGGGGACTGGGGGGTCGGGAGCCGAAACCCAAAAGATTCCCCCAGCATGGAGCACCCACGTTTCCAGTGTCATGTTGGAGAGGCGGGAGATGCTTGTTGGTTTGTGCCTAGCCCACCCCCACCAAGCCCGGTCCTCGGCGCGCTGAGACGCTAGCGGGTGTGGGCCGCGGGGTGGGCGTCTCTGGGTCTGTGGCTCTGTCCTGCCCGCCCCCGCCCCTTCCTCCCGGACCGCGCCGGCGCTGTGCGGCCTTTTCCCCAGCACGCGGCGCTGCGCTCGCTTTTATCTTGGAGCCGCGTCGCTTCGTGCGCTGCCAGCGGGGTTGAGCCAGTCGGCTGGAATTGAGTAGCATTCATTGAATCTGCGGATTTCATGACGTCTCTCTGCGTGGTCCATCACTTTTCTCCTAACCGGGGATTTTTTTTTTACTTCTGCCACTCTTATCTTTCCCCGCTTCATTCCACCCAGTCTCCCTCCCCCGTCCCTGCCCAAACGCGTGCCCCTCCGCCCCTCCTTTGGCCCCGGTGCCCAGCCCTGCTCTCCGCGCTCGGCCGGAGGGAGCCAGTCCGGAGACGGCTGCACCTGGCTGGAGAGGCTGGGCGGGCGGAGGGGTGGAGACCCGCGGGCGCCGGGAAGCCGGACCTGGAGCAGGAGCAGCTGCGAGCAGAATGGAGTCTCCTAACAGCCTCTCGGGGCTGATGTGAAATTTGACCACCTGATTCCAGTTTTTTTCTTTTCCTTTTCTTTTTTGCATTTCCTTCCCTCGCCATCCGTCGTGTAGTGAATTGTTCAGTCTTGCTCCGTTTCGAGAGAGGAGATCATGATTGAGTGAAGCCACCCCGTCCGCAGCCAGGTAAGCGGTGCGCTGAGCTGATCGCAGGCGAGGAGCTGGCGTCCACCTGGGTGAGGCGTTCCGTGCTCTCGGGTCCCCGCTTCCCCGCGTCCCCTTCCCCAGCTCCGCCGTCGCCCCAGGCATCTCCACTCTCATGAGAAACATTGTACCCAAGTCAGCCGAAAGGCTAGGGAGAAGCCGGTTACATAACAGAAGGGGAATCTGTTTCATACGGTTTTCATTAGCGACTGAAACTCGCACGGGGGGCGGGGGGAGGAGGGGTCTGCATCCTTGGGCTCGCAGAAACCCAGTCAGTTATTGCAGACATCATTTCAACATCCGCTGGCAAAGACGAAATGCACTGATTAACTGGCAGGGGCGGCTTGTGGTGTAGTCATTTACAGTTGGGAAAAGCCCATTGTCTTTGTGGAAGGCAGTCTTCTTGTTCTGCTTTGCATGGAGAGGAGACAACACGAGAGGGAGGAAAAGTGAGGGTTGGGGACAAACATGCGGAGAATGGGAAACAGAATACTGTAACTCCTAACTGTTCTCTATCCGTAAAACCGAAGATGTGATATGAATCACATATCGAAGTGAATAGGAAGATCTCCCTAGGAGTAAACTGAATTATTTTGTAATTGGAAGGGAAGAAAAGACGCTTTAGATAAAATGAGATGTGTGTGGTATATAGGGGACTGGGTGGCTGTGGATATTTGCTTCCCTGTGGATATATTTTCATTTTCATCAAGACATTAAGCTTGGATTAGTTTTTAAGTGAAATAACATCAGTATTCCCAAAACCCAATAAAAGCCCAGTGGATCCACAGGTACATCTGTTGTACTAGGTGCAATATGGAGAGATTCTCAGGGGAAAAATATATCTTAATAGAAACAGCCACAGAGATAGGGTGAGGTTAGTGGAAAGACAAAATACCAGAATTTTCCAAAGAATTCCGCCTCCAAAAAAAAAAAGGAAGAGAAAAAAACAAAACAAAACACCACAACTCCAGTGTTTGGGAGTTGGAGATGTATTATATGTTTAGAGTGTTTCCCAACTGCTGTTATCCAAAGTCTGTCGGTCCCGGGGAGCCCCACGGTACCGGGGGCAATGCCACATCCTGCTAGCCCTGTTCCTTGCCTGCCTGCCTTTTGCTGAAAAAAAAAACGGAGAAGGGTGATGTCCAGGAACTGCTTAGGGAGAAAAAAGGGTTTGCTACAGTCAGGGCTGAGCTAACTGAGCTTCGCCCATTTTGCCTGGAGAAAGAGAAAGAGCTCGAGTCTCCATGGCGACCCAGGTGGGAGGGAAGACCGCAGCTCCAGTTACAGGGGAAAAAAATTGGACAAAACTTTCCCGGCTCCAGGCAAGGGAATAAGCCAGCCGCGTGCCCTGTGGCGGGTCCCAGGGCATCAGTTGTGCCCAACTCCCTGACGGCGACGCTCGAGAGGGCGCCCAGAGCTGGTCGGTGTCCCTCAAACCTCCCGTAAGTTGCCCGGGGGCCGCCGAGGTGGTGGTTCCCGAGCGGGTTCCGGATTCAGCACCAAGGCCAGAGCCCAGGAGCCGCGGGTGCAGCCTCACCGGTCTGCAGCCCCCAGCGAACGGTACCCACTTCTTGGTCGCTGGAGGTCAATCACTTTCTATAAAGAAACGAGTCTTTGGCTCGTGCAGAATCTGGATATCAAATTACCCACGGAATTACGTGAGGCAAAGAAGCTTGCAAATCATCCATTTTATGCATGGCGGTGCATCGGGGAAACTATTCAGAATCAAACACTGGGACAGGGAAAGACCTGAGCTGAACTGAGAGTGGAGACAGGATTCCGTCCTCAGGGGGAGAAAAAGGACGTGCGCGCTCACAGACAGACACAGACACAGACAGACAGACAGACAGACACACACACACACACACACACACACACACACTCTCACACACACTGTGATCCGTCCCTGACGAGGGTTGCTAGTTTTAGCTGAGTCCCTTTGGCTTTCAAAAGCATGCATCCCTTGCCCTCTCATGCTTCTCTCTTTAACTTTTTGTTGGGCATAGATGGCAGAAGGGAGCTGTGGAAGCACCCTGGTCAGCGAGAGGCCAGCCAACCAAGTTCGCTTGTTCGTTCGTGCTTCCTTTTTTTTTTTTTTTTTTTTGAAAACGGAGAAGGGTGATGTCCAGGAACTGCTTAGGGAGAAAAAAGGGTTTGCTACAGTCAGGGCTGAGCTAACTGAGCTTCGCCCATTTTGCCTGGAGAAAGAGAAAGAGCTCGAGTCTCCATGGCGACCCAGGTGGGAGGGAAGACCGCAGCTCCAGTTACAGGGGAAAAAAATTGGACAAAACTTTCCCGGCTCCAGGCAAGGGAATAAGCCAGCCGCGTGCCCTGTGGCGGGTCCCAGGGCATCAGTTGTGCCCAACTCCCTGACGGCGACGCTCGAGAGGGCGCCCAGAGCTGGTCGGTGTCCCTCAAACCTCCCGTAAGTTGCCCGGGGGCCGCCGAGGTGGTGGTTCCCGAGCGGGTTCCGGATTCAGCACCAAGGCCAGAGCCCAGGAGCCGCGGGTGCAGCCTCACCGGTCTGCAGCCCCCAGCGAACGGTACCCACTTCTTGGTCGCTGGAGGTCAATCACTTTCTATAAAGAAACGAGTCTTTGGCTCGTGCAGAATCTGGATATCAAATTACCCACGGAATTACGTGAGGCAAAGAAGCTTGCAAATCATCCATTTTATGCATGGCGGTGCATCGGGGAAACTATTCAGAATCAAACACTGGGACAGGGAAAGACCTGAGCTGAACTGAGAGTGGAGACAGGATTCCGTCCTCAGGGGGAGAAAAAGGACGTGCGCGCTCACAGACAGACACAGACACAGACAGACAGACAGACAGACACACACACACACACACACACACACACACTCTCACACACACTGTGATCCGTCCCTGACGAGGGTTGCTAGTTTTAGCTGAGTCCCTTTGGCTTTCAAAAGCATGCATCCCTTGCCCTCTCATGCTTCTCTCTTTAACTTTTTGTTGGGCATAGATGGCAGAAGGGAGCTGTGGAAGCACCCTGGTCAGCGAGAGGCCAGCCAACCAAGTTCGCTTGTTCGTTCGTGCTTCCTTTTTTTTTTTTTTTTTTTTGAGATGGAGTCTCGCTCTGTCACCCAGGCTAGAGTGCGGTGGCTCTATCTTGGCTGACTGCAAACTCCGCCTCCTGGTTTCAAGCAATTCTCCTGCCTCAGCCTCCTGCGTAGCTGGGATTACAGGCGCGCACCACCACGCCCAGCTAACTTTTGTATTTTTAGTAGAGATGGGGTTTCACGATGTTGATCAGGCTGGTCTCGAACTCCTGACCTTGTGATCCGCCTGCCTCAGCCTCCCAGAGTGCTGGGATTACAGGCGTGAGCCACCGTGTCCGGCCCAACCAAGTTCTTTCTAAGGGTCCTAGGACTCAAGAGGGTGGAGAAATAGTTTCCTCTCAGTCTAGACCCGGAAGAAATCAAAACGACACTGGTGAGCTCCCAAAAAGGAGAGAGAGTGTGTTAGCAAGATGAGAGCCAGTGATCACATCTTCAAGCCTGTGTGTGAGCAAGTTGGATACATTTCCTAGGTTGCAGGCATAAGAAACCGAAAGGAGTCACTTCTCTTAATACAAACAAGGAAGAAACTGAAGGAGGGGAGGATTTATTACCATTCCAGTTCCATTTCAACATTTATACAGGGAAAACAGGTAAGTCCATCAAGCCCTCTGCTCTCACTTTACCGGAAGCTGGTCTTTGTCCTGCTCTCATCCTTTGTAGTAGGTCCCCCACCACACCACTGTACTGATATGAAGAGGAAAAATAATAAAGGAAGGTGACAGTCATATTTTATATGGAATGCCTGTAAGATTGCCATCCAGGTGTTACAAGGTACAATTTGAATTGCAGAGTCCAGGCAAGGTTTGGCAACTGGTTGGAAATGTTGATAATTCTTCACCAGTATCCCTGGCTGCTTTCCTGTTTTGTGGATGCACTCGTGTATGAGGTCTTGAGTTGGTTCTGGTTGTTATTTTTAATGGTAAACAAGATATGATCCTGGTTTTCCTTGCTGGGCTTTCCAAGTGTGACATGTTGTTTCTAAAGATATTGCATGCTGAGCACTCAGGATGTGGTTAAAGCCGTGTGTTTATACCTTCCAGTCTTTTCAAATGATTGCTAGTGAAGACAGAGCAATCTATTTCAAACCTAAGCAAAAGGATGAGTTATTACACTATTTCTTACATTTCAGTTCCTGATAGGTATTGGCAAGTTTATCCGTAATTTAGTTGATGAAAGGGTTGCTACCTAAAGTAGACAGAAGAAGTGATGCATGGAGTATTAAACAAAGCAGCTGTTCCCTGGGCTTTGTTCCGTCTGATATTATCAGCAGAAGGGAAGTAGACATTCATTATGAGGATGAAGCTATACAAGAATATAGACTGTTAGATAAACAAAGTATTTCTGAGTTCTAAAGTTCAATTTCTCTTATAAATTAACAAAGGGGGGTGGTGTCAATAATCTAGGTATATGAAATTACTCAGTCAATAATCTTTACTTCTGGTAGATTCCATGCTCACATATTCAGTTCTTATGCACCGAACTATGACTTGCTTTCTTCCTATTGATGAACAAAGTGTCACTATGCCCTTTGCAGTCAATAGCATACTCAAAAATAATTGGTTTACTCATTTCAAATAAGATTTGTTAAGGAGAGCAAATTGTGAAAATTCGCCCCCATTTACGTGGTTGCATTTTGCTATTTAAAAAAAATCATTTTGATACCTCATCTAGGTATTGCCTAAACAATAGTTACCTCATCTAGGTATTGTCTAAACATTGGTATGTAGTGTTTTCCTTTGTGTGACACAAGTCTTTAATACAGAGGACTTACATGAACTGTTTTCCTTGAGAACATAGAAGGACTTTTAATTCAGTCTCGTATTCCTCCCTATCATCTCAGTCTACCTCTACTTTATAGGGGAAAAAAATTACAATAGTTATTTAAGAAGTGATAGAAA